CTCTTTCCAGATTTTAATGATTTGTGTAGCTGAAAAACATAAAAAGTGCTGGACAAAAAAGTATTGGAACATTGAATGTAGACAAAGCCTGAGAGCATAATTTAGTTGCATACCTTTCATATTGACATCAAATTATTAATTATCTTTTCAAAAGCTTACACAACCATTAAAACAGGCTACAAACCCATGTGTTGATATTAACAGTGGCATTATTGAGCTCTTACATGCACCAAATACCCCACACTCAGCATTTTCATATAAAAAGCCTCATACAAGGAACAGCTGGTGGTATGGCGGTTGGGGCGATTGGATCCCATATGATCCACTGACCATTTCAAGCCCTGGACTTGGACACATTGGCAGTGTATCCCAAATCCTGAGAAGACGGGATTAGAGTGTAGCCATTCCCCTGGGGGGGTGCCTTCTCACTCTCTCTCTGTAGGTCATTAGTCCTTTCTCTGGTGAGTTCATACACCCTAGAACAAATTATAATAAACCAAACCAAACCAAAATACCTCATATTCTATAGAACAGTGGTTACCAGAGGCTGAGATGTAGAGGGAATGAGGAGATGTTGGTCAAAGGATACAAAGTTTCAGTTAGACAGGATGAACACATTTCTAAGCTCTGGAGCTCAGGATGATGATTACAACTAATAATACTGTACTGTATATTTCAAAATTCTTAAGAGTAAATTACGAAAATTTTCATAATAAAAAATAAGTATTTGAGGTGACAGATTGGTTGATTAGCTTGATAATACCAGTTCCTATTATAAACATAACATCAGTCACTTTGTACCCCATAAATATATATAATTGGTATTTGTCAGTTTATTAAAAAAAAACTCACAGAGACTCTAGAGTCTGTGGGTTTTTAAAATTTTTTTAACATATTTTGCTATAGGGTGCATGCACTTGCTGGAGAGAGACAGAGACACAAGGACAAAAAGCGAGAAATTACCCACAAGGTGGATGGCCACACTGCACTCCCTTCTCCTCCATTCTCCTCTCAGGATCTTGGGCATGCATGCACATGCACCTGGCATAAATTTCGAGCCACTGGGTCCAAGACTTGAATCATAGTCAGCCATGTGGGAATCCAGCGACATAACCCTTATGTTATGTCATCTGCTGGTCCCAAGCCTGTTTTTAATCAATAAATATGACCACTGTCTTTACCTCTCAAACATACTGCAAGTGTAAAATTGTCCTCTTTGTCTGCAAAGCTACTACCTGAGAGACTATCAAATACCGTATTAACATCAAAGACAGTAACTCTCATATTACTGCTCTAACAATCTCAAGTCACCATAGATGGAAATGGAGTTGTTTGGAGTAACCAATGCCAATGTCCAGTTACTTCCAATCCCTTTTCTAAATACCATATAAATCCTGTTCATCAAACTTTTCTACAATTTTGCCAAATTCTAATGTCACATCAAGATCTAATCTTTTAGGACACAGTGGTTAAGCAAAATGCATAGAAAGTCAGATCCCACACAACTGACAACAATTCAAATCCAGTCCTGGTGACTTGAAAAGCACAATGGGCATGCGTGCACTGTGTGCCCAAAATCGTGATGGGATGGAAAAATGCAAGAAATGGGATTGCACCATGACTACACCCCCACTGAAGGGTGCTTTCTCTCTCTCCCTCTCCCTGTCCTTCTCTCTCTCTGGCAAGCATGTGAGCCCTCTGGCTATGAAAAATATGACCCCATCCTTCAAAAAAGGTTTAATGCATCTGCCACCTAGATGCGTACTGCTCACAATTCTTCAAAGTAATAAACTAGGCCAGTCAGTGGCATGGTGGTGAAGGTAGCTGGATCCCACATGGCTTACTGCACAGTTATGGACTGCAAAGCTTGAGTAACACATGAGGCATGTTTATATGTACGCCAAGCATCATAAAAGGAGAAATGGAGATGTGATTGCAATGTGACCATCTCCCATGGGGGGAGTGCGCTCGCTCGCTCTCTCTCTCTCTCTCTCTGTCTCTCTCCAGCAAGCACACATGTCCTCTGCCAAAACAAATTTTTTAAAAGATAACAAGGGGCCAACAGGTAGCATGGTGGTTGGGGCAGTGGACTCCCATATGGCCAATCCCAGTTCAAATCCCCGACCTGGTGGCTTGCTTTCTAACCTCCTCTCTCTCTCTCTCTCTTTCTCTCTCCCTGGTCAAATTAAAATGATAATAATAATGAACAAAAATTAAATAAATAATTTTCAATAAAAGACTACAAACTCTGGCTTTATATTCACAAACCCTAAATCTTTCAAAACTCTGGCAATACATTAATAGCTTGCCAAACCTAGCAACAGACTTATTTAAAACAATCAGCATTTCTATTCATTATCCTTAACTTCACAGTCCTCTTAACCATGTGTTCTTTCCTGATAAGATTAATCTTGACAGAGGGAAAAAAAAATCTTTCAGTCATCAATCAATAATGTTACACAATTTTCCCAAATAACCAATTTTTTTCTATGGCAGCTTAAATCTTTGCTCAGATATCCTTGGCATTTTCTCTGATCTCCAGTGCAACCTGGACTTGTTTTTCTTGTAAGTGCTGGTCCCTCTTTCAGATTCATCCTCGTATGAGAGCCACAACTCACAACCTTTGTAGATCATCTTTTTAAAGGTTGGAGACCAGAGGGGCTCCAGATGGGTCATGATATTTCAACAGCAGGTGAAGGGGGAACCCTTCTACTTTCCTGTGAAGTCGTACTCTAAAAATGTCACTCTTGGAACTTCCAGTTCCATTCCTCTCTACTCATGCTTAAGTTGGGTTTTCTAAAGTCTGACTGTGCTCAGCAGTCCATTTGGATTATTATGAATTCTATGATAGGTCACTTCCTTTAAAATTTTCAAAATTTTGTTATTATAAATTCTATGATGACAGGTTCCTTTAAGAATTTTCAAATGTTCCTTAACTTTTAAAAAAACATGGAAAGTCTATCAGCAAGTCAAAAGTGTTTTCCACACTCTGCTTTTCACAAAATGCAACTAGCAACACATGTTCAGAGACTAGATGTTCTCTGTCATGATCTATCCTAACTCTGACCCACACACCTAAATTCACATTCAATGGCATCATAATACTCCCCTTGTGACCGCCGTCTACAATAATTCTCACATGTCACACCTGCTTCACTGTCCTTTCATACTCACCCATGCGCTCTTGTAATTTTTCCATTATCTGTTTAAAGGATTCCACAAAGATGTGCATCTCACTCATGTTTGATGCTACTCAAATCACCTCCTTTCCAATACCCTTTCTAAATTTATTTTTAAATAAGATAAACTTTAACATGTATTACTTTAACTATCAAATGCCATTTTACCACATCTTGATAATGGTTAATACTCATAATCAAGAAAAATTTGATGTAGAAATGCAATTTTTTCAAATTATTTTAGTATAGATATTCAGGTTTAAAGGCTTTTCTTTTCTGGTCATATCTTTAGGTTCAAAATAGAGAGTACCAAAAAATTTGGCAAGAATTTCAGATCTAACTAAGGAGACAATTCAACTTTAGAAAATTAAAGTTCAATCTCCAGGTGAGATCATGGAGTAAGTTTTTTTGTTTTTTTGTTTGTTTGTTTTGTTTCTGTCATAGTGCATACACACTCACTGGAGAAAGAGAGGCAGAGAAAAGGAAAGTGAGAAATCATGCTCCAGGGAGGATGGCCACACTGAAATCCCTTCTCCTCATTCTCCTCTCAGAATTTTGGGGATACCCACATGTGCCTGGAGTGATTTTCAAGCTACCAGGTCTGGAACTGAGATTTGAACTATAGCAGGCCATGTGGGAGTCCAGCACCTTAACCACCACAACACCTGCTGTCCCCGATGTTTTATTTTTATAATAATAATTTTTCAGTTATTATGACATATTGAAATCCCATAATTATTTACTCAAATATTTTTATTTACCTACTTTTCCACAAAGTCACGGTAGGGCTATAGTTTAAACTGGCTTTTAACTACTACATTCAGTAGAGAAACCTCGTCATCCACTTTTCAAAAAGGCATTTCCGCTATGTTACATTTTAGTAAAGGTTTCCCTTATTTTTACTTCTACACCAAATATCTTTTGAATATGGCCATTTTTATTTTTGAGTCAGTAGACTAAAGCATCACAAAAATAGCTAAAATAATGAAATCCTTTTGAATTAGAAAATAAATTTTTTATAAATATAGCAAACACATAATAAGCATTTTAAAATTACAGTAGAAATTTGTTTTAGAATACGTGAATGGTTTTCCCCAAAACTAGTCCAAGCATCTCAGCAGGTTTAGTAAAATATCACGTTATTGGGTAACAGCATAGGTGAATAGGCTTTAAAATGTTAAATGAAGAAAGAGAAAAGAATAGAGCAGAACATCCATGTTACAAATGCAAAGAACTGCCACCTTGGAAGTTGCACATTATGGGAAGAGCAGTCAGACGTGGTTCCTTTTAAAGACGACAAGCTTTAAACTGGGCATGGTGGTACTGAGGGCAAAAACGAGAAATAAAAGGAATCAACTAAAAAAGGTGTGGAGAAGGGGTGTGGGAAATGAGAAAGGGGAGAACAAAACCCATACCAAATCCCCTCAGCCGTAAGGGACAGAGGAAGCCAGAAGGACAGGCTTGAGATCCTATGGCCCAACTCTCCAGCCTGTGTGTGGATTCCGGATGGTGACTACCTCCTACCTTTTTGGTCAGCAGGGTGAGGGGGCACATGTGGGTACTTGGAGGGCTTCTTGATATGGAAGTTCACGTTGTCCAGCTCCACGTTCAGGCTGATGGAAGCGGCTGAGTCACTGTCCACTGTGGACTGGAAACTGCTGACTGATGTGCGCTTGCTAGGACTGGCAGAATCTTTTAGTGTTGGGAGGGGAAAGAAATATAGGGAGAGGAGGGGAGTAAAAATGGGTTTTATCAGGGTTTTGGAGGAAAGGAGAAAAATGGTTTTTAATACACAAGCCCAATGTGCAATACCAAAATGGATACAGTATTTTCATATACTCCTGTGTTGATGTAATAAAATTTGGACAAGTTAAATATAAAATCAATTTTAAAAAGAAATAAATTGGAGGTTCTGCAGAGAGAAAGTCTGATATCATAGTGAAAGGTGAGAAAGTTGTCTGCTGCGATATTAGCTCAGAGTTATTTTTAAGCTGCTGCAAACTAAAGACTATAATAAATTCTAAAAATGTCAGTGGCCTAACAAGTTGATTTTTTCAGAAAATACTGTATCTAAGGTAAGGATTGCTCTCAGATGTTTACATTTCATTGGAGCCATAAATTGTACAGAAGTGTTTCAAATAAACAAGGCACTCATTTCGTCACATATACACAATAATGATCCATAAAACATATACGTTAAAAATTTCAACTCACTAGCCAAATTATCGTCACCTTCTTCAGCTATCTGTTCTGTGTCACTGTCATCAAACTTTATGTCTTTAAACCAGGATGGCTCAGAGTGTCCTTCCACAGAGTTCACGGAGTCACTGTCCGGAGAAGGCGTCTCAGAAAATTCTGTACTCTAAAAGAATCAAAACAGGATCCCAGGCAACTGACCTCAGTGGCAACAATGTTCAGGGTATCATACAACGCATTTACTGCAGCCAAAATTTCTACAACTCTAACGACTGAATAAATCTATACAAAAATAAACAAATTACCAAAAACTAAGTTATTAAACTAACATCATACCAATTATCACTAGCTAGAATATTTCTTTGGTGCAGACTTCACAGTGTCTCATTTCATCCTTTAGTCCTGAGAGTGAAGATAACCTAGAATTTATTCTAACCCAACTCTAGAATACATCCTGGAAAACAACTTTTAACAAATCATACCATACTGTGTCTTTAGGGTTATTTGTCTTTCTAATCACTGAGCTGCCAATTTCAATGCATGAATGTGTTACTAAATATTGTACACATGTACACAATTACATGAACTAAAAGTGAAAGTATTTCTTTCTTTAAAAGTTCTATGTTTAAATAATCCCACTTCTCTAAAATAAAATAAGAATATTCATTATTTTACTATTAGTATACAATTTAAAAGTGCTAAAAAATCGAAATCTAGTTTAGTCAGTAACATACATTTTTAGTCACTTTATTACATATATGCCTTTGTTCTAACACAGTAAAAACTAAAAAGTATTTAAGTTAAATAACAAGTAACTAAAATACCACAAAGGCAGGTTTAAGAAAAGTCACATTCATTGAGTAAAGTATTTCATTTGAATGCTCTTTATCACTGCTACCTACAAAGTAAAAAATATTTTAGCTTTCCCCAAAAAGTAGGGAAAACATGTTAGAAAAAAGTATCCTTGGGGGACCAGCAGGTGACGTGGTAGTTAAGTGCACTGGACTCCCAAATGACTGACCGTGGTTCAATTCCCAGACCTGGCATCTTGCTTTCTCAGTTTCCTTCTCTCTCTTTCTGTCTGTCTCTGTCTCTGTCTGGTCAAATTAAAAAATAATAGTAATACTGATGAAAAATATTAAAAATTAAATAAAATAATTCTTAAAAAAAAGTATCTTTGGGTAATTCAACAAATGTTTATTCCCATGGATATAGAAAGACTTCAAAACAAGCTTATTGTATTCTCATTAACAGCAAACACTGAAAATTACCTGCAGTGGTCTGTACAGTGCATACTCATCCCTGAAAAGCTGGTCATGATGACTAACACAATCCAACCAACGTCCATCAACCATTGCTTGTCCAATGGCTATTGCTTGTGCCCTGAATCCACACCAATGAAAATGAAGTTTTAAAAGTCAGTCAGAATAATTATAAAGGTGTAAAACACAACCTTAATCTTTTTTTTTAACTCTAATGAGAGTTAGAGTTTTAAATGGTCCTTGGATAGGGAAGAGATAAAACAAGAGAAACTTACAGCAAATGAGATTCTTTGAAGTATCATAATAAATAAGAACCACTGGTAAGGCAGTTCTAAAAAACGCATTTCCAATTTCAGCAGGCATTTACTGAGTACTCAATGTACGCACATATGAGGAAAATTGTTGAGACTAACATGGCTCCCACCCTCATGTTTACAGTCTTGGTGAGAAAACTATATCAAATATAACAAGTATAAATGTATGTATGTGTATATATATATATACACATACATACATACATACAATTTTAGGCATAGAATAGACACTAACACATTGCAGTATATGGCAGTTCATAATTTATAAAGCACTTTAGTCAATATGATTTCCTTTCTTTAAAAAAAAAATAAAATTTGCTATAGGACATGTGGACTTACTGAAAAGAGACAGAAGTAAGAAAGCACCTCCCAGGCTACTGACCACATCATAATCCCATCTCTTTTATTTCTCCTTTTGGGATTTTAGGAACACACACACATGTCTGGTGTGTTTTTCAAGCCACAGAGCCTGAGTCTTGAACCACATAGTCAGCCATGTGAGCACAGTCAGCCACCTGCAGGCCTTAGTCAATATTATTTCAATTCATCCCCACAACTTATTCACAGGACCGTATCATTTACTCCTGTTGGAAATGAGAGTCCAAGTCTCAAAGAGATTGAATAACCTGACTAAAAGTACAAAGCTAAAAAGAGATATAGCCAAAATTGGAGCCCAGGGCTTTACTTCTTAAAGCTATCTCTTTCTAGGGCCAGCAGGTGGTGTGGTGGTTAAGGCACTGGATTTCCACATGGTTGACGATGGCTCAAGTACTGGACCCAGCAGCTTGAAATCACACTGGGAAACATGTCTGTGTGTGCCCAAAGTCCCAAAAGGAGGAAAAGATTGAGGAGGAAGAACTGTGATGTGACTGTTCCTTATGAGGAGTTTTTCCCCTCTCTCTGTGTCTCTGGGGCCTCTGGCATATATACAAGTAAGCAAGCTATCTCTCTCTCCACTTGTTTTGTTTTTTGTTGGTTTTTTTGTTTTGTTTTGTTTTGTTTTGTTTTTAAGAGAGGTTTTTGCTATACAGCGTGTGCACTCGCCATGAAGACAGAGAGAGATAGAAAGTGAGAAATCAACCTCCAGGGTGGATGGCTATGCCGCAATCGCTGATCCTCCATTCTCCATCTTGGGCATGCACACACACGTTCCCAGCAAGAGTTTAAGCCACTGGGACTCGAACCGCAGTTGACTACATGGGACTCCAGCAACATAGCCATTACGCCAACTGCTGGTCCCTCTCCACTTGTTATCTTTCTTTTTTCTTTCCATGGTCAAAGTAGCAGCTAATCTGAGTAAATAGTAAAAGCTAGGGGATTTTTTTTTTTAAGAAGTATTTACTTCATTTCATTTCTTATTATTTACCTTTTATTTTGACCAGAGAGAAAAGGAAAGTGAGAAAGCAAACTGCCAGGTCCGGGACCCAAGCCATGGTCAGCCATGTGGGAGTCAGAGTCTTAACCATCATGCCACCTGCTGGCCCCAAAGCTAGGGGATGTTAACTTGAAAAGCAACAAGATCTGTCTGTTACTCTTTATTATTATACAAATGATTTGTGATGCAAGCTAGAATTCCCCCAGACATGGCTTATGGACCCAATTCTTAACACAGGTTGCAATTTCTAGATTGGAGAATAGCACGACAATTCTTTGGATCTAGACTCTTGCCATATTCTTCAATCCCATTTTAGTAGAGTCCTGTGTTTTAGAAATTATTGCACATTTCTGCTTTTAATAAGGTAAACTGTGGCCCCATTTGGTTCCTTGTATCTATTCTCAACTGATTAAAACTCAGGTGGTAGGAAGTACCAGCCGAAAATAAACCTAACTCAGAAAAATACATTACCCTTTGTAGTTTCAAATGTGTGTTCTCATTAAAAAAAAATAATAATAATAAATTATTAAAGCCTCTTTCTTAAAGATCACAGTACCTTGTAGCAATGTGTCCATTTCGGATCAGCCAGTTGACTAGTTCCTTTCCCACAATGCAGTTGGGATGTGTTCTCAGCCAGTAGCGGTGATCCTGAAACTCCATTCCACTACTGTGATGGCAGATTTTTTTCCATAGGTCCTTTAACTGAACACTGTCCTGCAATGACAGTAAGAGCAAGTAAATCCTCCTGAGAAGGATACTGTAAACCTCTTCAGAGGCTTTTTTGTCCTTTTTAGAGTCACAGAAGGAAATTCTATTTGGATTTCCAAAGAGACTTAGACAACTTAAGACAAATGACACACACATGGGGGCAGCATGAACTCTCAATTACTTCTAAATGTAACCTTTTCTTTTGAAGACCAACTATCCTTAATACTTCTATTTTTCAGCCAATGGCACATATTATCAGTCTCTTAATTATTTAAATGTAAGATTTACTCTTCTTTGGAGATGAGCAAGGTAGGAGGAGGCAACATTCAATCACACTAAGCTAAGGAAACCACTCTTCATAGACTTCACTCCACTAGATTCTCACCATTCTTACCTATATCCGACTACCAGGTACATTTTCCTAAAGGAAGACCTTCGGTGAATGACAGGTTACTCAAAAAATTAAAATAAAATAAATAAAATTAAATAAAATAATTCTTTAAAAAAAATTATAACATGCTCACCAACAACAGGCTCAAAATCAGAACTTCTAAGGACTACCTTCTATCAAGTAGTACCAAATAACTTTCCATGCCCATTGCTCAAAGACTCCAACTTAAAGCTTTTTCTCTTTCTCAAATAATAAGTCTATTTTACTCATTGGAAAATGCCATTCTTACTCTCACCTCTATACCTTTCTTTAAATAAGATTCACTTTCTTCACTGCCTATCTAAATGCATCCATACATCAGTCTAGTTCGAATACTTTGGTTTAAAGCCTTACCTGCCTCCCTCACTAGTAATATTCTTTAAATTTTCCAAATTCTTATGACATATAGTAATATTATTCTATTGACATGCTATTTTTTTTTAATAGGTTTTTGCTATAAGGCGTGTGTGCTCATCAGAAAGATAGAAAGCGACAGAGAGACAGAAAGCAAGAAATCACGCCCTGGGGTATGGCCACAGCGCAATCCCTTCTCCTCCATTCTCCTCTAGGGATCTTGGGCACGCATGCACACGTACCCAGCGTGAGTTTTAGCCACCGGGTCCAGGACTTGAACTGTGGTCGACTACATGGGAGTCTAGAGACATAGTCATTAAGCTAACTGCTACTTCCAGACATGCTATTATTATTAAAGTATTACTTATTTTGTTACTAAGGACATTTTTATTTTACCTCATTTCTACCTCTTCAATTGTAAGCTTGAGGACAGAAGTCATATCTCCAAATCTCTGAGTCACTCTTAGGACTGAACACACTATTTTACACATAAATTCAATAAACAACTAAGTAAGTCCTATAAATACATAGTATTAAATGTCTAAAAAATGTTCCATATGTATAAGAAATATATTTCAAAGTTGAAACAGCACACTGGGATTTAAGTAAATATTAAGCTCTCTTATGTTGGCCACAGAATACTGATCTTGCCAAATAAACGGGGTAAAAAAAATATTAATGCAAGGAGTACAGAATACTTGACCAATGTCTCAGATAAGCCTAAAAACTTGAGCTAATTATTCTTGTTAATTAATATGCAAACTATTTTGTTTTTTCTTTTTTGAGAGATTTTTGCTATAGGGCATGTGCACTCACCAGAGAGACATTCTGCTCTCAAGATTTTGGGCATGCATACAAATGCGCCTGGCATGAGTTTTAAGTCACCGGGTCCGGGACTCAAACCGTGGTCGACTGTGTGGGAGTCCAGCGATGTAACCATTATGCCATCTGCTGGTCTCTCATTTTACATTTTTTTAAAGAAAAGAATCAGTGAGGCAAGAGACATTCCTTATACTCAAAAGTAGCAATGTACCAGAAGAATTTTGCGTTCATCCTCAGTGGTCTCTGTCCTTACATATGTTCGGTTAGCCTGGGGACTGACGGATGTCTCATATGAAGGTACCATAGGAGAACCAGATCGATCTAATGACAGGTTAGTAATGCTGGCTGATCTGTAAATAAAAACAAAAAGTGAAATTACAGTTGTATATTCTTCATCCACAAACAGAATTACAGAAAAAATTAATTTTTAAATAAATGTTTACTTGCCAATGTTAAGAGTACTTCTAAAAGTACTTATGGTAAATATTTATGATGTTATCATTAGGGGGAAGCTGGAGAAAGGATAAGTAAGAGCTCAGTATACTGTATTTATAACTCTGTGAGTCCAAAATTATTTGGAAATAAGTTTAAAAGACAGTGATTACGAAAAGATTACAGAAAGACAACTACACAGTTCAGCAGTATTTTAAATGAAATTTTACCAAGCTCTTCTTGGTAAAATTCTGCAAATCAATAGTAGTGATTTTTTCTTAATTGACAAATACCAAAAAAAGAAACGTATATGCAGAAATAATCTTGCAGATCAGGATTGGAAAGCTGACCCACAGACTAAAGTCAGCCTGCCTCCTGTTTTCATAAAGCCCATGCACTAAAAATATTGGGGGTGTTTTGGGGGGAGGAGCAGGGCAGGGTCTTGCTATATTACAATCGTCCTGCCTCAGCCTCCCAAATCACTGGAGCTACTAGTATGTACTGTCATGTACAACTTTAAAGGTGGTCCAGGAATCAAACCTGAGCCTCCCATGTGGCATCAGACTCTCAAGAAGCAGTATCTACCAATGTGTGCTACCATGGCTGGGCCAAGAATGGTTTTGATGGTTGAATATCTGTAATCAATCAATATAATGACAGGGAACACTAATTTTTAACTCCAACTAAATGAAATGTTATGTTCCAAAATAGAATTCCATTTTTCTATCAATAGACCTATACTTAAAATATTGTCATCAATTATTATCATATGTTGATTTCATCAGTAAAAAAGTTAGTGACAGGCCAGCAGGAGCCATGGTGGTTAAGGTGCTGGACTCCCACATCGTCAACCACAATTCGAGTCCCAGACCTGGCAGATTGCTTTCTCACATTCTTTCTCTCTTTCTGTGTCTCTCTCTGGTGAGCGCACATGCCCTGTAGCAAATTTAAAAAGAAAAAATAATGATGATAAATAAAATTGAATAAATAACCAAAAACAATGTTTAAGTTAGTGAAAAATAATTTTCTCTCATTATACAAATATGTACATCTACCTTTAATTTTGGCTCTTGGCAAAGTTAATAAATAAATTACTTATAAATGGAATATCAGCAGCGTTAAGCAAGTTTCTGTTAAAAAAAAAATAGCTAAAACCTTAGCTTCTACCTAGAAAAACATAAAGCCCAATTTTAGGTTGCATAGAATGAAATATTACTAAGCAGTAAAAGAAATGAGTTATTAAGCCACAAAAAAGACATGAAGGAATCTTAAATGCATATTTCTAAATAAAAGCACCCAATCTGAAGACAGTACATTACATGATTCCAACTACATGATACTATGGAAAAGGTAACGGTATAAAGACAGTTTTATCAGCGGTTACTAGGAGTTTGGAAGGAGGGATGAATGAGCAAATAAAGAGAACACAGGAGATTTTTAGGATAGTGAAGCTATTCTGAATGATACTGTAACTATATGATGGTGAACATAACCTCACCATGAGATTCACCAATTGCACTCCTTAGTATTTATCCAAATGAATTGAAAACTATTAATACATTCACACAAAAACCTACACAAAGACATTTATAGGAGCATTACTCAGTTGCTAAATCTTGGAAGCAACCAAAATATCCATCAATAGATAAGTAAATTATGGTACATTCAGATAATGGAATATTAATCAACACTAAAAAAAACTAATCATCAAGCCATGACAAGACATAGGAAAGCTTAAACGTATATTATTAAGTAAAAGAAGCAAGCCACTTCGAAAAGTCTACATATTATGTGATTCCAATAATAAGTCATTTTGAGAAAGATAAAACTATGGTGACAGTTAAAAGATCAGCAATTAACATGAGTTTAGGGGAGGAAGAAATGAATAGGCAAGTCCAGTAAAACTGTACTGCATGATGCTAAAATGGTGGATACATGTCATCATACATTTTGCCCAAACCAATAGAGTACACAGCACCAAGAGTGAACTCTAACATAAACTATGGATTTGGGGTGACAATTATGTATCAGCGATTACAATAAATGTACCACTTTGGTGTAGGATGTTGAAAGTATCCTTATCCTTATATTCCCTATATGAATTGTCCCTGTAATGTAGGAGTTACAAGGATACTCTCTGAACTTTCTGTTCAATTTTGGTGTGAACCTAGATCTACTATAAAAAACTTTATTAAGTAAACTATGATGTTTAAACTTGCTTTCAAGGGACCAGCAATTAGTGTAATGGCTATGTCACCAGACTCCCACGTAGTCGACCGCGGTTCGAGTCCTGGACCTGGTGGTTTAAACTCACACCGAGCGCATGTGCATGCGTGCCCAAGATCCCGAGAGGAGAATGGAGGAGAAGGGATTGTGACGTGGCCATGCCCCCTGGGGGGATGATTTCTCGTTTTCTGTCTCTCTGTCTCTCTCTGTCTTTCTGGCGAGCGCACGAGCCCTACAACAAAGACCTCTCCAAAAAAAAAAAATTGCTTTCAAGTGAGTCAGAAAAAAAAGGTGTATTATATAAAAAGTGACAGGAAATAGGTAAAATTCAAATTAGTATATCATAACAAAGACTGTATGAGCATCTATTTTTCTATTCTTACAACTCCTATGCAAGTTTAACATGTTTTCAAAACAATTAAAAATAAGGGAAGAAAAGTAAAACTCTCCAATAGCTTCCTACCTCACTCAGAGTAAATAACAAAATCCTCACAATTAGTTATAAGACTGCTTATTCCAGACACACAGGACTCTTTGTTAAGTCTTGCCAGGTGTGTCCCCTCTCAGGAATTTGCTATTTCTGTTTTCTTGATACACAATCCCACACATGGCTACATGGATCATTCCCTCATATCCTCAGGTCTTTCTACTAAACCAGAAGACAGAGGATGGGAACAGATCTGTGCTCTGAAGCCATCAGAGAATATTAAAGAGAGCCAGAGAGAGAGCAAAAGCAAAAGCTGACTCATAAAAAGGAAATGAGAATTTAATTCAGCTTTTATAGCTAAGAGAGTATGGCAATTTGTTTCTTTCTTTTTTTTTTTTTTTTAGCCTTAGGGAGCATGCACTTGATAGAGAGAGAGAAAGACAGAGACAGAGAGAGGGAAAGTGAGAAATCAGCCCCCCCACCAGTCCCCAGGGGAGATGGTGACACCACAATCCCTTCTCCATTCTCCTCCTGAGATCTTGGGCACACACGCATACCCTCCCAGCTTGAGTTTCGAGTGGCCACGTCCAGGACTCAAACCATGGTCAGTCATGTGGGTATACAGTGACCCAACTATACCATCTGTTGGCCCCTATTTCCTTTTTTTAATGTTTATTCTGCTCACTACTATGAAGAGAAATAAAAATCGGACACAGAATATGGTGTTTTCATTTGGCAGTTTACCTATTCCGGGCAGGAGATTTTCCGGCATCTTCTTGAACAGATACAAGTCTTGTTGGAAGAGCAGTATTTGAGGAATCTGGATGAATCAAACTATAAAGAAAATAGGATGATACTGAAGTCATTTGGGACCACAGGAGACAATTTCAATGAGATGATTTAGCATTTAAAACCAGATTAAATCTTCTTCCCTGCAATAATAAAATTTGGGGTCATTTATGTTCTTTCTTTAATTAGGGTAGAAATGGTGCATGGTTTTTGTTGTAAGTATATCAAATGCCAAAAGAATGATGAAGTCTTTATGTATATTTAATACCTATAAAATAAAATTGATTGGATGGGTGACTTACTCTTTCTCACATCATATATAGGAAGGAAGTGATTTGGAAGGAAATCTGAGTTTCAATATTTTATGCTCAGTCCCCGTAACCCACTGGAATAGCACCACAGAGTCAGGCAAACCTACACCAAAGTACAAGTCCTACCACTTACTAGCTGTGTAACCTTGAGACTGTTAATCTTGCTGAATCTCAGCACACACATCTATCAAAAAGAGAAAACAATGCTACCATAAAGACATGATCACTAGGAGAACGAACATTAACAATTAGCACAGAATCTAATATTTAACTACGTTTCTACCTTTAACATCTATCCTACAGCTCTCAGGAAGCTTTCATACCTGATTTGTTTTTTTAAATCACACTTTCCAATTCTGGGCTTACACTACAGGACCAGGCACAGCAAAAGGCATTACTTACTAAAATAAGCAAAAACTGAAGAATCCCTATACTTCCTTTTTTTAAATAAAATAATTTTGTTTGATTTATAAAATACAAGGTATAAAAACAATCATGATGCCATAAATGCAAAAATACTCATCAAGCGACTTAAGGAAAAAAAGAGGACTACCACTGACTTTGAAGTGCTTCTTTTCCCCTCATCCAGTCCCATTCTTTTCCCTACCCTCGATACAACTATGGCTGTAAATTTTATGTCTATCATTATCTTCCTTTTCTTTAAATGTTTGCATGTTTATACTCCTCGATAGTGTATTCGTTTTGTATATTCTTGAACTTTATGCAAACTCGAATGTATGATTGATGACTTTCGTTTTTTACTCCACATTATATCCATGAGCTGTCTACACATGGAATGTAGCTATAATTCACCTTTTAAGTCTGCTTAAGTTCATTACACACTAATTTCTCATTCCTTTGGCATAACTGAGAAAATAACTTATCAGAAAGATGTCAGTTAAAATTCTAAGTTCTTTGACATGACCAGATTTGGTATTATGCTTAAGATGATAATTTTGCTAAAGATAACGATTAGAAACTGATGAAACTAAGATTCTAATTCAAACGATTCCAGGTAACTTCCACGAAAGAGTTAGTAGCACTCACCACTATCAAGCAGTACAGTATACTTAGACATATAGAAAGCATGAACTCTTCCTTTGGATGGAAAAAAATCTAATTTCATTTGAAAATATGAATACAGACCTTAAGAGCAGTCTCCTTCTCAAAGAAGGCTACATTAGGAATTATTATCCCTAATGACTTCTGCTACCTATTCAACAAATATTACCAAGATCATACACATGCCATGCACTGTTCTTGGTGCCAGGGGTAGAACAGTGGGAAACAAAGGTATATCTCCTCTCATGGAGCTTACATTCTAATTAGTCATTATCAGCACTATCCATACACATCTGATCCTCTGGGAGGCAAGCCAAGAAAAAAGGAGAAAATAGTGAATTTGCAGAAAGCAATTCAAAGAAGGCAAAAGTTAACAAAAGCATTCCTAAGTCAGAAGACTATTGGTATTTATCAAATTTTAATCAAGTTTTTAAATAAAACTTTTAAGTGACAATACCTTTGCCAGGCCAAGTCATCCTCTAAAAATATGTTACGACTGGCTTTTCTACTTCCAACAGGTGTTCGGGGCTCATTTGGATCAAGTACAGACACAGAAGCAGCAGAATCTGAAAGAGCATTCAAGTCTTCCCCAATCGAATTACTATCTGTGGAATGAGCATAACTTAAGGCTATTTTTCTACAGTATGTGCAAGCTCGGAGGTCCCCTAGGAGAAAAAGAAAAAAGAAAATTAAGTAAAAGATAGCAGTAAGATATTATTTAACATTTTAAATCCTTGTGTTGACAGTTAATCCAATAACAGGGAATATCTTCAAGTAAAGACTACTAAATAAGACACTTTTAAACAAGGGAAATGATTTCATTAGCTCTGTTAGACATTTAAAAAAAATCATTATGATAAATTCATCTATGAGTCCAAATTACCTCAAATATTTGTAATCAGTTAAGAAAATATATTTATTGATGAAATTAGACAACTGCTTAAAATAGTATTTTTTCATGGTTGTAAAAGTGAAATAGGAATCTACCAAAAATATGAACATCAAGGGAGAAAGTTTTTTAATAGAATAAATAAAGACATATGAAAATGACATATTTTCCTTAGACAAAGAGGAAAATTAAGGTCTCTACTGTGAAAGCCTGAAGGTTAATAGAAAATGTGCTTACATACAACTTATGAGGGTAAAAACTATAAAAGAAATTCTTAGAGTGAAAGTTAGGATAGAAATGAAATATTCTTGGGAGAAGAAACAAGATTAATATCTACAGGTTTTTTGGGGTTTTTTTGTTTTGTTTTGTTTTGTTTGTTTGTTTCTTTGTTTGTTTAGGAAACAGTCCTGTCCAAATGCAAAGTTTTGATTTCTACCCTGTTTTCTTGTGATATTCTTCTGAGAGACTTTATACTACCCTAAAAAAGGAAGAGAAATAACTAAGTCTTACTAAGGATATGCTATTTCACAATTTTTTTAATATTAATTTGCTATAAGGCACATGCATGCGCTAAAGAGACAGAGAATGAGCAAGAAAACAAGAAAGCACCACACGTGGGGCATGGTCATGGCACAATCCCTTCTCTTCTATTTCTCTGTCCTGTCAGAATTCTGGTCACGCACACCTGATGTGTTTCTCAAGCCACCAGACCATGACTAGAACTAAGTGGCTAGTCACATGGGCTCCAACTGCCTTAACCACTATGTCCATAGGCTGGCCCTGATATTTAACAATTCTACCTTAATTCATTTCCATTAATATTAGAAAACTGAAGTGACAAGGAAGACTTCTAAAAACTAACTGTACTGTGTTTATATTTTATCTTAATTGCTATCAAGTATAACAGCTTTTTTTCTCATTTTAATACCATAGTGCTTGGTTTTATTAAATTATGTAAAAAAAAAGTCACTGTTGCATTACTTTTTTTTGTATTACTTATTTCTCATGTCACAATTTAACATACAAAATTGATTAAAACTCTAAAGGAAAATGTACCCACTTTAATCAAATGAACTCTAGCCTAATTACTCCAGTCTTAGGACACAGTGCCATTAGCTGACAAAAGCAGAATTTGGTAAGGAAGTGAGATTATTCCCTGCAGAAAGACTTTCTGTTTACCTCAACAAAGGTTTGATTTGTTTCTTACACTATAAAGAAAATCTTAACCAGTCAGCTCAGAACTAAAATGACCAGATCTATAAACAGACAGAGCCAAGCCTGGCCAGATGTTTTCATTTCATGAAGAAACTTTACCAGCAAGGGCCTACCGCATGCATGCCTATATTATGTGATGGGAATACAAAGATGATGAGGCAGACCTACCATCAAAACACTGGAGGTGACAGACACGCATATAGTTAAAAAGATGCATGACAGATGTAAAGCTATCACTGCTAAACCACCAATAATAACCTAATGGTCATTACCCTTTGTTACATGCCAAACATTGTTAGAGGTATGTTTACATTACTGAGTCACAGCGTACAACTGTGTCCAGCACACATTATCCTGTTTGTGATCCTTATTCTCACCTAGCTGTTGTGAAGGTATTTTTTTTCTGAAGTGCGATTAAATTTACTATCAGATGACTTTAAGTAAAGCAGATTATCCTCCATAGTGTGTAGATCTCATCCAATTAGATAAAAATCTTAAGAGAAAAACAAAAAAGGAATTTACCTGCAGGTATTTTTAGCCTGTTGGCCTGCCCTGAAAATTTCACTTATCAGTCCCCACATTTACCTGGACAGATTCCTTAAAATCAAACTCTATGGGGACCAGCAGTTAGCCTAATGGCTATGTCACTGAACTCCCATGTAGCCGACTGTGCTTCGAGTCCCGGACCTAGTGGCTTAAACTCATGCCGGGCGCTTGTGGGTGCATGCCCAAGATCCCAAAAGGAAAATGGAGGAGAAGGGATTGTGGTGTGGCCATCCCCCCTGAGGGGTGATTTCTTGCTTTCTATCTCTGTCTTTCTAGCGAGCACACATGCCCTATAGCAAAAACCTCTCAAAACAAAAAATCAAACTCTATGTATAAGTAATGTTTCTATGTGTGCATACATTATCAGCTCTGTTTCTCTGGAGACTACTAGTACAGATTTTGGTTCCAAGAATTCTGTTACCCTAGAGCAACAGAATGTTAAGGATGAGTTTCTGAAATTGGTTCTCTAATCTGATTAGATATAAAGGCACTAATGACTCTATTTAAAATGGTAAAGAAAACAGTGATAGTCGATGGTGCAACATCAATAGAGACACACCAAGTATCACCTGTGGATACTCCTAATCAAGTAATTATAAAAGGCAAAGTTCTAAATGACTATGTATTTACTATATAACAATACTTTGTCAAATCAACGAATGTAATTATATTGGCCATTTGCTCCTAATTGTATTACATAAAGTGAGGGGGAAAATAACCAGGGTGGGCAGCAGGTGGCATGGTGGTTAAGGCACTGAACTCCCACTTAGTGAATCACAACTTGGGTCCCAAACCTGGTGGCTTGAAAATCATACCAGGTGCATGTATGTATGCACATGGAGAATGGAAAAGGGATTATGGCATGCCCATCCAACATGGCAGGTGATATCTCACTTTCTCTCTTTTTCTGTCACTCTCCAGCCAGTGCACATGCTTGATGGTTAAATAAAAAAAATAAAATAAAATAAAAAAAACTTTAAAAAAAAAAAAAAAAGATGATCTCAGGATTTCCATACCAGGGGCACAGTAGCTGAGGCAGCTGGATCCCTCATGGCCAACTGCACCTTTTGAGTCCTGATTGCAGTGGCTTGAGAAACACACCAATTACATGTGCACATGTGCCCAACATCCTGAAAGGAGGCAGAAATGGAGGAAAAGGGATCACGGCATGACTGTCCCCCATGGGGAGTTTTTCTCACTTTCTCTCTCTGTCTCTCTCCAGTGAACACACATGCTCTCTGGCAAATTATTTTAGAGAAAGAAAAGAAAAAAGGATGACCTCAAATTTAAATGCCAGCTCAAGCACCAAACAAATTATCTGAAAGTTTCTATGTCTTCTCCAAAACAAATCCTTACCTACTGTAGCCTCAGTGCTAAGACAGCTGGAAATCAACAGTCTCATCTTATAAGGGGCTACATTAAAATACAAACTGAACAGCCAATCTTGTAGTCTATCTGCTATTAAAGTGAGGGCACTGTTTGGGAAGAAAGGAGTCCTGGAAATTAGAATAGGGATCTGTGGGAAGATGAAAACAAACGGGGGCTATTAGATTCCAAAATTTTGAGTTTTCTTTGCCAGTATAAGTAGCCTTCTCACCCCATCTGAGATAAACAGTGTTTTCCCTGAAGAATCTGTAATGACCACCCACCACCTGCCCTGTAAGACACTGCTGATTTTCCTCAGGATCCACACCCACTACCCACTTTGCTTCTAGACTTGTAACAAGAACAAGTCCCACCAGACCCTAAAAGGTGAGATAGAGTGATTCAAAAGAAAATGTACTACACTCCAAAAGAACTACATGATTTTTCCAATTTATACAGACAGAAATTCAGGGAATATGTGTAGTAAAGGACATTAGAGATGTGAGATAATGGTGGAAAAGCATATGAAGTTGAATCAAGTCAAATGTACTGATAAGGGTTCACTAAGCAGACATTCTACATTTAACATCCCTGTGCTAAAAAGGGCTCTAGCAGTTTGCTTGTTTAATTGGTTGAAACACAGACCAGAAGGTAGCCTACACTAAATGAAGTTAAAATGTCAGAATTGCCCTGGTGTACTAGGAAGAGATCCAAAAGCTCAGGGAATATTACAAGTGAACTTTCCATGTAAGACCTGCTTACTCACCCTGGAAGGACATACTTTTCATCATGATCATGATCAATAAATTTGTGAGGGGCTGGCTTGGTAGGGTAGCTTAACACACTGTGCAAGTGATGCCAGATCCATATGGAAGATGGCAGGTTTAGCTCCCTGGTCAACCTCTGCACACTGAGCAATCATAATCCTTGCTAGCTGAGAGTGTTGAGTATAAGACCCTGATGGGATTGCAACATGGCTATCCCCCCTATGGGGGGGATTTCTTACATTCCCTCTCCCTATCCCTGTCTTGTATAGACCCTATGACAAAAAAAAAAGATCTGCACAATAATTAAAAAAATAACATGAAGGGGGCCAGCAGGTGGCTGGTGGCTAAGGTGCTGGACTCCCACATGGCCAACCATGGTTCAAGTCCTAGACCTGAAGGCTTGCTTTCTTAGTTTCTCTCTCTCTCTCTCTCTCTCTCTCTCTCTCTGCCTGGTCAAATTAAAATAATAATAAGTAAATAAAATAAATAATTAAAAAAAATAACATGAGATGTTAAGTATTTTCTTCTATGTAACTTCTACACACCTAACACAAATCATTATATAAATCCACACATCATTGTTCAGTTTTTTGTTTCAATAAATGACCTAAATTTTCTATATTGTTAAAATTTGACTGTTTCTTACGGAAGAATTTGAGTAAGATAAAATGTGCCAAAGTAGTGTCACATATGAATGACCTGTACTTTCTAAAATGAAAACTCTCATAGCAATATGTTAGTAATCTACAATAACCATATTGTCTAGTAAATTTTAATGCTCCACTGGCTTTTTGCTTGTTTCTGATACATTTTCTTTTACTTTAGTTATTCATGAACATGCCCATCTACTTTATTATTCAATGGTAAAGTCCTTAAAAGCAAAACCGGGTCTCCCTCATCTTTGTGTCCCCATATTTTACATATAAAACTCAAAATAAAAATTGGCTTAATACTGGTCCAGTGGTCATAGTTGTGGCCTTTGAAATTATAAAACTATCAGTAAAATGCATTTACCTGTATAGCCCATAAATTTTCCAGGAATTTCTTGATTACAGCAACGACTGCAGAAAATCTGCCCACATAGTCGGCAATGGTGTCTGCGCCTAAAGGTTGTAAATTTCTCACTACAGTCATAGCACTCTTTACATTGGCTATCTGGCATCCAGTATTGCTTCAGGTCACTATCCTATAACAATAAAAATGTATGAAGGTTTCTTGAAAGTACTGATTATTAAGATGCAATGGCAATGAAATCTTAGCTTTCTTTTGCAGAGAACAAGCTATTTCTAAAATTCATATAGGAATGCAAAAGGCCAAAATAACCAGGACAATCTTGCATCTTGCAGAAGAACAAAGTTGTAGGATTTACATTACCAGCTATCAAGATTTATTCTAAAACTACAAAAATTTTAGACAGGGTATCTGTGCAGGGGTTTTATTAAAAAAAAAAAAAAAAAAAAGGAGTTATATGAACAGAAAAGAGAGACCTGGCAAACCCTCATATATTTACAGACTTGTGAAAAGATTTGTGGGAACCAGCAGTTAGCGTAATGGCTATGTCGCTGGACTCCCATGTAGTCGACTGCGGTTCACATCCCGGACCCGGTGGCTTAGAACTCATGCGGGGCACATGTGCGTGCGTGCCCAAGATCCCGAGAGGAGAATGGAGGAGAAGGGATTGCGGCGTGACCATCCCCCCTGGGGGGTGATTTCTCGCTTTCTGTCTCTATGTCTCTCTCTGTCTGGTGAGCACACATGCCCTATTGTGAAAAACCTCTCCAAAAAAAAAAAAAAAAAGATTTGTAACACAATCAGTGAAGAATGGTCTTTTCAAAAACAATGGTCTAGACCCAACTGGACATTCAGAAAGTAGAAACAAAACATGACCTTTACACTTCACATAACAAAGACTCTTGAAGACACCACAGAAGAATATCTACTGACTTTGACCTTGATAAACACTTCTTAAACAGAACACAAAAAACACTAGCAATAAAAGGAGGAAAAACCAATAAATTAGACCACACCAAAATTTAGAACTTATATATAAAAACTTGGTATTCTTAGTTGGGGTATCAAATTTTCTTTCAAGGGGCATTCCAGTGGGTCTGGCATGATCCTCATAAAAGCTTAATAAGCAATCTTCCAATGCTTCTAGACAATACCTGGCTTTTCCCCTCCATGATTTCCTTGAGGCGTTTTAATACTGTGCTGAGGCTTCGAAGCTGAACAGCTGTACGAGGATCATGACCTCCAAAAGTAGGTTCTGCTTTCCTCCTTGTGTCTGAGTCAGATTAAAAAAAAAGCAACTTTGTTAACAGTCCCTCCTCTCTATACCCAACAAAGTACATATGTGATGCAAAGTGCCTCTTATTGTTAGCATATACTGAGTTCTCCCAGCCAGTGATATGGATGGAGGGTTAGCACTAATTTTTATAAGGTAAGAATCCATAGAAAGTGCTTTTTAATACCATATAAAAAACTATTTCACAAGTGAGGACTGCCTAAGACAAGCATATCTAAGACCATTAATAGTTTGAGATTGAGGATGATAGTACCACTTAAATGATCCATAATTTTTTTTTTCTTCACACTTTGGGCCAACCTCTAATAAATACCAGCTAAAAATCTGGCAGAAGAAAAAGGAATCCCAGAGAATTAACCTAGGTTGGTCTCTATAGTCAAACATGTAAGCAATAGAATAAAATAGTTCAGGTCCATATGTAGACCATATATCCAAAACTCTGGTGGAGCAGATCATCAAAGAAATGTAATAGACCAGCCCCCAAAGATTCTGACAAATTTAGAATATCCAGGTAGATTTTTGCCATGGTAAAATCTGAACAATATCCAAGCAGATTAAAACTGCCAGAAAATTATTAAAACACCAATCCTAGGGACTGGCAGATGGCGTAATAGGGACGTCACTGGACTCTCACGTAGTCGACCGTGGATGGAGGCCCAGACCCAGCAGCTTGAAACTCACGCCGGGCATGCGTGCATGCGTGCCCTAAATCCCAAGTGTAGAATAGAAGAGAGGGATTGTGGCGTGGCCATCCCCCCATGGGGATGAAGTGGAGGTAGTCTGACAAAAATGATAAACCTCCTTTTTAGCCCTATGAGCCTAATAACCTATGGCAAAGTAAGGTGGAAAATATCCTACCCCTAATCTTCCTCCAACTCACTATTTGATTACAGATTGGTATCTAAATGCAAATTAATAAAAAAGGTCTTATAATAATTTAATTAATGAAATAATTATCTAAATTAAGCTATTTCAGAAAATGTTGAAAACTGTTCTTTATGTATAAAGTTATATCTTAATTTCAGCATATCTATCAGATGTGTTATCACGTAACATGTTTTAGAATGACCAAATTTTTCCTGAGTCTCAAAACATAAAGCAAATCTCCATGAGTTATGAATTAAAAATGGAGAAAGATGAAGCTGTTAGATCATAATGGCTGTACTCCCAAGCACAGGCAACAATAAACTGTGACGCTCCTTACATTTAGCCACTTAGGGATATAAAAAAATGCTAATAGCATCATATACTAGGAAAGGATGAGCAAGATCCTTCTGGAAACCAAAAGAATCATACATCTTGATAAAGATGAAAGAGACCTTGAATGAAAATTTAGTCTACTTCTTTGCCCATAAGCAAATAAAGTTAGCTGTTTCTCTTGCAAAATAGGTACTAGAAAATTAAATAACTTTTCTAGGGTTAAAGAGCTATTAATAACTTGGGGTTAGCCAGTGGTATGTGGTTAAGGTTCCTAGATCCCATGTTGCAGTTCAAGTCTGGGATCCAATGACTTGGAAAACACACCAGACCCATCCTGGGCATCCTTTCTCTTGCATGACACAAACACCTTATAGCAAATTAAAAATACATAAATAATTTATTTAAAGCTAGTAATTTGTACAATTACAATCTTTTAGTAGAGAAAGGAACTTGAATGGCAAACGGTCCCAGGCTTCTGAAACTCAAATGCCTCCATGGTAGAATCAGAGGATGAAGCAGACTTGATGCAAGCTAATAAGGAATGGTAGGAACCACACCAAACTAGAGGTCACAAGCTTCGCCTAAAGATATTTAAATTCAGGGAACAGCAGCTAGAGTAATGGCTATGTCGCTGAACTCCCACGTAGTTGACCACAGTTCGAGTCCCAGACCCAGTGGTTTAAACTCACACCGGGCACATGTGTGTGTGCCCAGGATCCTGAGAGGAGAATGGAGGAGAAGGGATTGTGGCGTGGCCATCCTCCCTGGGGGGTGATTTCTCACTTTCTGTCTCTCCGTCTCTCTGTCTTTCTGACGAGCACACGTACCCTATAGCAAAAACCTCTCCAAAAAGAAAAATATTTAAATTCAAGTTTATTGTCATACCCAAGGCAAAGTTTGGCAGGCCGCCAATTTGTAATCCCTAAAAAATTAGATTCTACTCCAACTCCTCAGTTTACACATGTGAAGTGTTACACACGCTGACTTAAGCATAGGATTTAGTCAGAAGAGCTCCCTCACTAAAAATAAAGTGTTGCCATTGGTCAGGTTCCAGAGCTAAGGAGAGTTATTGAGGTTAAAAGTTAAAGTGGAGATGATTTGGCATAAAAAGAGAGCTCCTTTCTCCCTCTCCTCCTCACCTTCTGATTCTTCCTTTCAAACTGCGATGCTACTCTGGCTGAGGTTCACTGCTCTAGAAAACCTAGAGAGGTAATGCAGTTAGCACTGCTCTGCCCTGATACAAACTAGTCTTCTGTTGGGTTTCTCCTCCTTCTTCTAGTAGAGCAAGTCTCAACAAGCAATAAAATATCCTACTGCCAACCACTACTGCCTGTGCCTATTTCTCCTTCAAGGACCTTATGGGGAAGACTGGCCGCATCAGATGATCTGGTGTTCAGGAACACCTGATTCCCCATGGTACATCCTTCCCCACTATTATGCCATCTCCCATCACCTTTCTTCCATCATCTTGAGTTGAACAAAACACACCACTGAGTTTAGCAATTAACAGAAATAAAACATACACCACCCCGTTTTCTCTAGTTTCTTAATGTAGCCACTGATCCCCAGCCCTTACTCATGAGAAGAGCATGAGATGAAGATGACTGTGTAGTAGATCAGGATGGAGAACGAACAGGCACAAGGAGCTCAGCTTATTCAGCCACACTGACAGTTTGCACCCCAAGGATGACAGAAGGCCAAGAGCAAGTGGCAGCACACTAATGGAGCTGACAGAGTTCTGCAGCCTGAGGCATGCACATCACATCTCACTAGCATCCCAAGAACAAAGGGACTCATTCACAAGGTTGCAACTAACCTGTGTTCTCCTGGGGATGCTGCGAAATGTTCTCTGCTGAAACTCAAGCAAGTAATTAATCAAAAAGCAGTCAAGAGATCTGTGCCTTGCCTAAATTAAAGTTTAATGGCATGCTTTACATTTTTTTTTCAGTTGTCAACAAAATCTTTTACTACCTAGTTAATGATTTTATTTATTCTAAAGAATACCTGACTATTCCAAATAGCAGAGAAGTCATTAGACAACCTGGAAAACACAGTGACTGTGGAAAAAAATCTAGCATGCAGGAAGGAATGAAATAAAAACACTTTTTTACCTAATACTGCTGAAGAGCGCCGCTGTAGTTCCTCATTAAGCTGTTTCTTATAAGGAGTAGGTGACCTTACAGATTGTGTCCTTGAAGGGAGCTGAGGGCTGGTCCAACTTCCACTCAGAGACTGCTGCTCACCCTGGCCCCCTTCTGCTCTCTCTGCAGCAAAGTAGAGCTTAAAATTATTTGAAAAACTAAGACTCAAGAATTCAGCAAAGAAGATGAAAATTTTCAGGTCACAATATACACAATGTGTTATATACATAATTAAATATTGGGATTTTATTTTTTAAGAAACAAATTCAAATAAGGGAGACAAAATTACAGGCCAATAATCACACCCTTAGTATATATGATCTGTTTATTTTTCATTAGAAATTACTTGAGCAAAATTCATATAAAAAGGAAACAGAACACAAGCTTCATACAAAGGCAGGATTTTGGGGGTCTGTTTATAGAATAGATCTCTTATGCTACTAAAAGAGTACAGGACCAGAGCCAGCAGGTGGCATGAAGGTTAAGGCAGTTGGATGCCACATAGCCAACTCCCCAGTTTGAATCCCGGACCCAGTAGATTGAAATCATACCAAGTGTATGAGTGTGCATGCCCAAAATCCCAAGGGGAGAATGGAGAAGAAACTGTAATCTGTAGGATGTCATCCCCCCGGAGGGTGATTTGTAACTTTCCCTCTCTCTCTCTCTTTGTCTCTCTCTCTAGTGAACACACGAGTCCTATAGCAAAAACAAAAACAAAACAAAAACCAGACTAAGGTAACAGGTGGCATAGTGTTTAAGATGCTGGATCCCACATAGCTGACCCACAGTTGGAGTCCCAGACTCAGCACCTTAAAACATGCTGGGCAGGAGTGTATGTGTACCCAAAATCTCAAGAAGAGAATGAAGGAGAAGATATTGTGGTGTGGCCATCCCTAGGAAGGGTAATTTCTCACTTTCCCTCTCTGTCTGTTTCTTCAGTGAGCACATGTGCCCCAGGCAAAAATATTTTTAAATAAAAGACTGCCCAGCACATAGTAGGTACTCAATAAACATTTGCTAAATAAATCATTGTTTATGACAACTAAATGTAACATGAAAGCCAAGAAATTTGTGCCTCCCCTAAAGTTTAATTTAGAACGCAGACAAGAATAGAAAAAGAACATTAGGTAATAACTAAAAAAATTTGAATAAAATACACATTTCAGTTGGTAGTAACAGTTCATTAACTGTAACAAATGTTCCACAGAAATGAAAGATGTTAGTAATAGGGGTCTGAATATGAGGGTATATGGGAACTCTCTGTATAATCATCACAATTTTACTATAAATCCAAAACTTTCCTAAAAAATAATTGTTTGTTTTTTAAGGTTTTTGCCATAGGTCACATGTAAGTGCTAGAGAGAGACAGAGAGAGGGAAAGTGAGAAATCACCCCCCAGGGAGGATGGCCACAATGCAGTCCCTTTTCCATTTTCCACTTAGGATTTTGAGCACGTACGTGTACATACACCTGACGTAATTTTTCAAGCTACCAGGTCTGAGAGTCAAACTGTGATTGGCCATGTAGGAATCCAGTACCTTAATCACTATGTCACCTGCTGGCCCAAAGGTTTATTTAAAAAGAAAAAAAAAGATCATCCTTGGGACCAGCTGGTGGCATGGAGATTAAGGCGGCTGTATCCCACATGGCTGACTGTGCCGTTCGAGTCCCAGGTCTGGCAGCTTGGAAAATATACTAGGCACATGTGCACACATACCCAAAACTCCAAGAGGTGAATGGAGAAGGGACTACAATGTGACCAGCCTCCTTGGGGTAGTGGTTTCCCTCTCTATTTCTCCCTCTCTCTCTCTCTCTCTCTCGCTCTCGCTCTCGCTCGGCCGACCAAGCTCAAGTACCCTAGAGCAAACTAAAATAAACAAACAAACAAGAAGATCCCAGTTTTTAAAATGTACTAGTAGTTTTTTAGGGGCCAGAAGGTGACTTGGTGGTTAAGGTGCTGGACCCACAAATAGCCAACCGTGGTTCAAGTCCCAGACCTTATGGTTTTTCTCATTTTCTCTCTCTCTTTCTCATGAGTATACATACCTTATAGCAAATTTAAAAATAATAGTTAGATGGGACCAGCAGTTAGCGTAATGGCTATGTCTCTGGACTCCCACGTAGTCGACCGTGGTTCGAGTCCCAGACCCGGTGGCTTAAAACCCACACTGGGCGCGTGTGCGTGCGTGCCCAAGATCCCGAGAGGA